AAAGTTTGCTGCTTCAGTATTTGTAGATTATTTTTCTATATGTTTCTATGGTATACTGAAAAACAATGATAAGCATATCATAAGTTTTAAGGCTTTTAATTGGCCAAAAAAATATAATGGGTCAATATGTACAGTGTTGACCCTTGTTCTTCATAACCTCTGCAATTCGCTCTGGATATTAGCTTCTGGGCCAAATCCTGACTGATGGAGACCCATTCTTGCCTTATTAGTTCTCAGAGATGATAACAATTTGTGGGCTTCTGCTTGTCCACTCGCCTTTTGAAGACTGACCACAGGTTCTCTATGGGATTGAGATCCGGAGAGTTGCCTGGCCACGGATCCAAAATTTTAATGTAATGATTTTCGAGCCACTTCTTTATCACTCTTGCTCTGTGACATGGTGCTCCATCATGCTGGAAAATGCACGGATCATCACCAAACTGCTCATGGATCGTTGGAAGAAGTCGCTCTTGCAGGACATTTTGATACCATTCTTTATTCATGGCAGTGTTTTTGGGCAGAATTATGAGAGAGCCCACTCCCTTGGTTGAAAAGCAACTCCACACATGGATGGTCTCAGGATGCTTCACTGTTGGCACAACACAGGACTCATGGTCGCGTTCACCTTTTCTTCTCCAAACAATCGATTTTCCAGATGTCCCAAACAGTTGGAAGGGAGCTTCATCAGCGAAAATAACTTTGCACCAGTCTTCTGGTGTCCAATCCTTGTACTTCCTGCAGAATTTCCGTCTGTCCTTGATATTTTTCTTGGAGAGAAGTGGCTTCTTTGCTGCTCTTCTTGACACCAGGCCGTGAGACGTCCTGGCGCTTGCTGGACACTCTGGGACGTCCTGAAGACTTCTTCACTGCAGTCGAACCTCTCTCCTTGAAGTTCTTGATGATCTGGTAAATGGTTCATTCAGGTGCAATATTCTTTGTAGCAATTTCCTTGCGTGTGAGGCCATTTTTATGCAAAGCGAGGATGGCTGCATGTGTTTCTTTGGAGGTAACCATTGCTAACAAGAACACAATGATTGGAAGCGCTTCTTTCCTCCTTTTATAGCAATCAGTCTGCTCTTACAATCTAATTATTATGATAGAGATTAACCTGACTAGTACTCATTCACACTTTCACATGTGCTGCTGATTTGATTAGTCAGTTAATGTTAGCTGGTCATTTTGTGTCAGGATCAAAAAACAGTGAAATTTGCTTTTTTGTGAAAACTTAATTTTTTGGCCAATGAAGCTTTTAGCAATTATTTAAAATGCATCTGATCACGCTACACAATAATCTAGAAACAATGTGGATGTACACCACAGCAGCTTAAGCAGCAAACTTTGCAAAACACAAAATTTATGTCACTGCCAAAACTTTTGGCCATGACTGTATGTGTTTCTTTCTTCCATAGTCAGTGGAAGAAAGGCTACCAGAAACTATTTGGTTACCAGCGTTCTTCAAAATACGCTCTTTTGTGTTCAACCGAAGAAAGAAACTTGTGTCATCTAAATGACAGAATTTTCATTTCTGGTGAACTATCCCTTCAAAAGACCTCTTTATCGTAGGTACAAAGGCATATTTACGTAGTGTTCAGGGCTTATCATGAAGATAAGCAACCTAGATTTACCTTAGATGCTTTGGACTCTCTATTTATATGATGTAAGCACATGCTACATAATAAATATTGGTGGTCATGCCATTTTGAAGGGCTATTAATAAATTACATACATTATATATTTTTGTAGGCATCGGTTGCTCATGCTGCTGTGATGTAGGCTAATGCATTTCCTAAACAAGACACATTGTTTGAAATGTTTTGGTTAACTGGGAGTGCTGATGGGGGATGCCATCATTATTTAGAATAAGCCAATGTAATTACCACAATAAAAATGATATAGGCTACACAAAATTAAAAGTTTTCAATTGGTGCTACAATGCACCACGTAACAACAGCACGCTCTGTGCCTTACACTGATTTACAAAGGAATGAAACTACTTCTATTTTTAGCATACATATATGGTTTCAAAACTGTCTGGGTTTGTTACACATAGTACATAGTAGTTAAACACTGTTTAAACAAACACTCGTGGCCTTGCATTGTGAAGTCCTCCAAAGGCGTATAACTGCGCAGACGCGAGTCTATCGACTAGCCTTTGAAACCAAAACAGGAAGTCGTAAGTATTGTGGGACGTGTAGTTCCGCTTGTAGGCCGTTGGTCTGGATAACAGCACACGAAGGAACCAAACAAAACAAAATTAGGGAAACTTCCAAGGGACTGCGCCAATACTGGTGCATCTTCTACACAATCATGCCCGGCTTTACTTGCTGCGTTCCGGGATGCTACAACAACTCACACCGGGACCGCGATCTGCGATTCTACACCTTTCCGAAGGATCCCACTCAGCGAGAGATATGGCTGAAGAACATTTCGCGGGCCGGGGTGAGCGGCTGCTTCAGCACTTTCCAGCCCACCACCGGCCACCGGGTCTGCAGCGTCCACTTTCCCGGAGGCAGGAAAACCTACACCATTCGCGTCCCGACTCTTTTCCCTCTGCGCGGGGTGAACGAGAGGAAGAGCAGACGGGGCAGGAGCAGGAAGGTCTCCGCCGTCGTGCCCATCATCAGCAGCGTCGTTTCCACAGCTAATGAGTCAGTGCCAGTGGAGGAAGAAGGGGACAGCGAAAACGCCACCGTGGTGCAGATAGGTCAGAACGGCCAGTACATCACGCCCGTAGACTTCACCTCTTCAGGAGACGGCTCCTGCCTCACAGCGGTGGTCTCGGGCGAAAACCTGTCCGGAGGCAGCGCATCGTGCCCCGTGGCCGATCTCGTGCTGTGCGGAGTTGATCACTCGTACTCTCTAACCACCGGCACAACGTCCGCTGAACTGCTGCGGAAGCTGAATGAGCAGCGGGACATCATCGCTCTGATGGAGATCAAAATGAAGGAGATGCAGAACACTATCCGACAGCTGCGCGTCAACGAGGCACGGCTGCAGGAGGAGCTGCGGGAGCGGGACCGTCTCATCTCAACCAACACCATCATTACGAGGAAACTCTGACGAACAACGCAAAGAAACGATGGACTAAAGACGCAAAGGACGGTCTGTGTTCGGTGCTTCTGTAAGACAAGGCGACGACAATTAAGTATCATCGTAGTTCTCATTTAAAATTTCTCCAGGACTCGGATAGTAGACAAGCTGTGTGTTAGAGCGCAGATACATGAGTTCAACCTGTATGCACGAGCTGTCAGGCACAGCGCTACACGGGAACTGAGATGAGTTCAGCAGACTGGTCCTTCTCATTTAATATTTAATGATACACGTTTGTGCTGTTTGAGTGTTGGAGGCAGCAGACCCAAGATCAGCCTACTGCCACACTTCAATAACCATGTTACATGCACACAGAGACTGCTTCATACCTGTGTAAACAACAGCTTATCATTTGGGTTTACTTTGTTTTTAATGTCCAAGTGTATCAGATCAGAGCTTCTGGTCCAGACGAACTGATTCTTTACATGCAGGTTAACGCAGTTAGAAAAGACTATTGGTTTGAAGTAAACCGCTTTTGAACTATAAATTGTGGGAGTTTTTTTGTGGTATGACATTTAAGCAAATGGTTCAGTTCTGAATCCCCTTTGTAAGATTCTTTACCACACAAGTTATGAATATATTGTGCACTATAGAGAACTATTTCTTTTCTATTTGAAGCCTCGTGGCATCACATTTATTCTAGGAATCTTCATTTTAATGAATTGTCTTAAGTAAAGCATCTTTAAATTAACCAACCTTTCCAGTATTTAGCAAAAAATACTTTTGTGGGCAGAAGATACTGGCCTTTAATTGTATGAAGAGCTTATTTAAAGGGGGTCATATGATGGTGCTAAAAAGAACATTATTTTGTGTATTTGGTGTAATGAAATGTGTTTATGCGGTTTAAAGTTAAAAAAACACATTATTTTCCACATACTGTACATTATTGTTTCTCCTCTATGCCCCGCCTTTCTGAAACGCGTCGATTTTTACAAAGCTCATCGGTCTGAAAAGCGAGGTGTGCTCTGATTGGCCAGCTATCCAGTGCGTTGTGATTGGCCGAATACCTCAAGCGTGTGACGGAAATGTTACGCCCCTCACCATACTGTTGATGCCGTGTCCGGCCGGAGCGACGAGACAAAAACATTAAAACCCATTATAAACTAAGCATTTGTGGGGACATAATTACTGATTATAATGACTTATACTGTCTTTTTACGCGTTGCGTTGCATCGCGCCGCGTAAACATAAAACCCTGTCTGCATTTGTGATCAGAGAAATGACAAACAACAAGTGCTACTCCACACTGCTCAAAACTCGCGTTTGAATCATCAGTAGCAAAT